ATTAGCTCTTCCATCCTGTCCCATAATTCAAACAACAGATCTAGTCAAATAAATTGAAGTAAATGACAAAGCAAAGATCAGAGAATATTATATTTTCTCACAGACATAGGCTATTAAGTGCCAGGATCCAGAACTAGGGAATCAAAAAGAGTGGAAGATAGTTCTTTCAGATTCATTCTGTTATGTGTGCTGGGTTTTTAGGGATAGGAATATGAAATACAGGCAAGTCCTTGTTTAGCAACCACAATTGAGACCAACAACTTAGCTAAGTGAAGCAGTCTCTGCGTGAAAGTGCAACTGTGCTAATGCTCTTACTTCAATTTTCCCTTGCTTTATAGACTGCAAAAATCAGGTGGCAAAGTTACTTTTTCATCACCGTTTAACTGTGAATGATCTCTGTACAAGATTACTTACATGAGGTTGGTTTATACTGAATTTCACTACTAGACTAGAATCAGTTGCTCAGTATCGAAGTGTTTTTATAAATTATATTTTAGAATTAATTGACAACTAAGTTGCAAATTCACATAACAAAACTAAATACAATGAAACCTATGTTGTACAGGTAATCCTCAGGTTACAAACATTCCCTTAGCGAACATTCGAAGTTACGCAATAAGCGCTCCCTAGCGTTTATGAACAAGTTCCAAAATTATGAATGTTGCAGCAGCTGTTCGCCCTTACGAATGACCACGGGGGCTCTGCAACATTCTCCCTGTCTATTCACAAACACACCCCAGGTCTTGACAGACACTCCGCCTGTGGAGACTCACCTTTCAAAGATCTCTTCTCTGTCACGGGTTCTTTGCCTATGTCATTGCTTCAGGCTTTCAGTGCATTTATAGAGAACAGAGACCTAATGTACTGTGAGATCATGCAAAATCAGTAGCGCGAGATCTCATGCTACTGATCACGCATGATCTCGCACTTTAGGCCTCTATTCTCTGAGAATTGAGGCCTGGACATTTGCAAATGAAGGAAAGGCTTTAGTCCTTCAGGCCTTCCCTTCATTTGCCATTTCCTTGCTAACACCTGTAGGGAGATTGCGTCCCTGTAGGCTTTAGCAGCCTTTTGCTTTGTCAGCACCAGCAAAGCTTGGGAGAAGCGGATGCCTTCCTCCAAAACTCTGTTCCAGCTGGCAAAGGCTTTTTCCAAAGGGCTGCTGAAGGCTACAGGGACACAATGCTCAAGTGCTTTGCTGATGAGAAGGGTGGCCCAGAGGTCCGTGAATTCAAATAAATAAGTAAACAAATAAAATAAATAAATACAATCTATTGCATGCGGTATTTTTTATTTTTATTTTCTCAGGATAAATAGTATGGTATTTGGGGATTAGATTTTATTTGACTAGAAAAATATTGTGGATTGTTAAATATATTGATTTACAGTTAGTAAGTGTTTATGTGTTATATTAAAGTTAAACTAATATTATATGAGGGACACGGTGGTTCATTGGCTAAAATACTGAGCTTGTCAATCAGAAAGGTCAGCAGTTCAGTGTTTCAAATCCCTAGCGCCGCATAAGGGAGTGAGCTCCCGTTACTTGTCTCAGCTTCTGCCAACCTAGCAGTTCGAAACCATGTAAAAATGCAAGTAGAAAAATAGGAACCACCTTTGATGGAAAGGTAATAGTGTTCTGTGCGTCTTCACCGTTTAGTCACGTCGACCACATTATCACAGAAAACGTCTTCGCACAGCGCTGAGTCTTCGGCTTTGAAATGGAGATGAGCACCGCTCCCTAGAGTCTGGAACGCCTAGCATATATGTGCGAGGGGAACCTTTACCTTCAATATGATATGAATATGGTTTTTAAAAATATTGGTTAATATTTTAATGTATTTAGGTATTTATTTAATTGGTTATTTATTTATATATTTTTCATATTTCTGAACCGCCCATCTCTTTCAAAGAGAAATTATTTATTTAAACTTAGAGAGGTAGTTTTATTTTATAATTGTCTCTATACTGAAAAACGTTGGAGATGTTGTGGCCCGCCAATGGCCAGCAGAGCTGGCAGCAAATTCTGACAGCGAGGAGGTTGGGGAGGAATATGGGCCAGTCCTGGAGTCTGGGGAAGGCTCTGATGAGGGCTCTTTGTTGGAGGCAGAGAGGGGACCAGAGCCGAATGATAGTTATCAGCTGCCTTCAGAGTCAGACATCAGTGAGGAAGACGAACAGCTGGAGTCTGTTCCCAGTGTGTGCATGCACAGAATTGGCAGACGAAGGGAACAGCTAAAGAACAGGGGTCGACTTGGGAGTAAGGCCACGGGTGGATGATGAATGGCTCTCCCAGAGGAAATAAAAGAGGAGCAAAAGGGGAGTGGAGTTTGCAGGAGACAATTAGTTCACTTAATTGGTTCGTGACTCTCAGGGACTCCTTGCCAAGTTTAGCAGATATTGGCCTGTCAGCTCTCCAAGCCAGATAAAGTCTGTGACTGTAAAATCCTCCCTTGAAAGACTTTGCTGGATGTGAATGAGTTAAATTCATAGTAATTTAATAAAAAGGGTTTTTTGTTAGGACAAGGAATTGTTTTGTGATTTGGGTAAGCTGAGGTCAGAACAGGAGGTCACTTTGTGCGTGTGTGTGTGTATGTGTATGTGTATACACACATATATATTGTTACTTAACCTTTCCCCTTTTATTCCCTTCCTCTTTTCACCTGTATATTAGTTTATATTTTATTTTATTTTGAAATTTAAAAAAGGTACACACACACACACACACACACACACACACACACACACACACACACACGGTTGTATATCTCATGAAAACATATTTGGTATACATATATAGAATGAGATATCAGCTACTTAAAATAAAAATTGTTTAGCAATAATGTGCATAAAGACAGGTTTTCATCAATTCAATTACATGTCTGTCTGTCTGTCTGTCTGTCTATCTATCTATCTATCTATCTATCTATCTATCTATTTACCTATCATCTATCTAATTTGTTTCTCATCAAGTTACCAAATTGGTTAAAACATTTCACCAGTATATGAATAACTGCTATTGTTGGATGTTAGGTTTTAAATTTATCATTCCTTTACAAGAATAAACTAAGCAAACCAAATTTTGTAAATTGTTTGCATATATACAAATTATACAATAGCAAAATTGGAAGGGATCTTGGAGGTCTTCTACTCCAACCCGCTGCCTAGGCAGGAAACCC